TCTTCTCCACATGCAATAGGTCAATCAGTATGCATGGGCATATCAATTGTAGGAATTCCAGGCATTAGCTCACTATAAATATTTTCTTGAACATCCTTCTAGTAATAATCAGCAACAAAACCATAAATGTTAGTATTTTGCATCTGGATGGCACGACAAGCATGAGGACATGAAATTCCAGTCATCTACCATTCCATACAAGTACATGTGTGAAGCAAAATGTTTACAACCAAAACCCCTTTACAACGTTCAGAAACTTTAAATTCAGATGGTGGTCGATGCTTCACAGTTCACACTAAATCCTTGGCCTCGAGCAATGTTTTCTGCTAAGTTTTCTTCAATCCATTTTCCAATGCCATGCATCCAAGAATGTAGATCATTTACCTTGTTTACCAATAATTGAGAATACTTCTCTACATGAGCCTGCATCATTTTTCCGATTGGATAAACCGTGCATCTCCCATCCAAGCATTAAAAATTTCAGCCATATTACTATTTAACCAATCCCACCTGTTTTGGAAATAAAGCGTTGCTCCAGTTCTAAGGATTATTATCCTTCACCCAATCATGAAGCTGTTGCTGAAAATCTGACATTTTGTTCAGTGCCATTTCATATGCATCCATGGTCCGAGCATAAACAATCTCATCAGGATTTGATGAGCTCTCTGCTTCTTGATGCTATTTAAGCGGAATGAAGTTTTTTTATCAATGAACGAGCTAAAATTCTCTTGCAAATGCCGATAACAATGTGCATGATTCTCCGACCCAAACAAAAAATCCACACTCTTAAGTATAGCTGGATTTTTATCTGAGATGATGGCAATATCTCTGTCCTTAATAACATGTTTTAAATGTCGCAAAAACCATAACCAATCCTCCTCATTTTCTGATTTAACTACATCATATGCTAGAGGATACATTCCATTATTTGCATCAATACTCGAAGCAGCCAGTGAGGTCCCTTTGTAAGGACCACTAAGATGGCATCCATCAATAAATACAATAGGTTGACCCCCAGAATGAAATCCATGGATTGAGCATCATCATATCTTAGTGGATATGTGACCCATGGATATGAAACAAAAAGTTGTTTAATGCACCATCATCATATCTTGATCATACAACAATTGTGTCAGGCATAACCTCTATTAACCGTTTATAATACCATGGAATAGCTTATAAGAATCTTCTACATCACCATTTAACATTTTCAACGCCTTTTCTTTTGCATTGCATGCCTGATGATAAGTCAATGGCATTTGATACTCATCCATTGCATCTTTGCATATCTGTCGAGGCAAATATGTGGGAGTGTTGAACAATTTATCAATCATCATACTACCCACTGACTTTGACTGATAATTGGGTTTAAAACTAACCATATCACCAATTGAATGAGTATGCACATCTTGAAATTTCTTTATTGACACATTCTTTGTACCTCCATCTGCTGATGAAGTAATCTTCCAATCACAGCCCTTAACATCACAATGAATCTTCTGAAACTTTGGTTTATTGTGTGTATAAGTGTAAAGAAACTGGTGGGTAATGGAAAATTTATATATAGCATCTCGAAATGCTTCCATATCTTTAAATGGCTGACCTACGTCTGTAATAATATTCTTCCATTTTCCACCAATGAATAGTTGAGAGCTTCCACTTACTGAAGAATCTACTGCCGCTTGATTCGAGCCACCGCCATTTGGTAAACCGGGATTCTTGTCAACAAGAAACCTGGATACAACTAATCTTTATTTACACCATAGTTAAACTAACAAATAAAGTTAAAATATAAACAAACTTGTCAACAAGAAACCTGGATACAACTATTCCTGTTTACACCATAGTTAAACGAACAAATAAAGTTAATATAATCAAAAAAATTTCAAACCACATACCTGCTGTTAGTTGCATGAGAGGGCTACTATGCTTAATTCAGATTCTGATGCAAAGATATGAGTATATTTTCATCATTGCAAGATAACAGTGTTTGTATCCCAAGATCATCTTTCAAAAGAATAAACTGTTTTGGATCATATTTCACTGTAAAATATAATGATTTCCCTTCAAAATCTATATTCAACCGATTAAAAACCAATTATTTGAAATCCTCAAAAGGCATGCCACTATGCAAACGAATTGAATCAGTAACACCTCCTTGAAAAAATATTGATACATCAGTTGTCAATAGATTATCGCCATCGCAATGACAAAAACAAAAGATTACTTTCTCCATCCTGAACAAAAAAAAAAAAAAAAAAAACACCTATGGACGTCAGTAATACTTCCTTGAACCCGAATTAAAAAGGATGAACATATATAATACTTTCTGGAACCTGAATTGAAAGATGAATATCTATAATACTTTCTTGAAACCGAATTGAAAAGATGAACGCTAGTAGTACTTATGATCTTTAGGATTGAATCCAAATTGAAATAAATAAACATCTATTGAAACCGAATTGAAAAACATGAATGCCAGTAATACATATGATCTTAAGAATTGAAACCGAATTGGATCAGTAGTACTTCTTTTTAAAACTGTGAAATCTTGTTCCAATCGACAAAATCTCATAAATTAAATCGTGAACGTCAGCAAGACTAGGGTTACACTGATACCAGGCGATGAGTCACGTACAGAGTCAAAAACTGACTGAGAGATGGTTTGGAGAATAAAAAAAAAAAAAGAGACGAGAGAGAAATAAAAGGAGAAAAGTGAAAAGTTACCGCAATAGATTGATATTAAAAAAGGATAAACAAGTCATTTTCTATTTTAAAAGATATGAAGTTATTTTAATATTCATGCTGAAACATTAAAAAATGCCAATGCCCTTAAGAATAAGTTTGATCTTTCCCATGCTTTTTTAAAAACTTTCCCAAAACTAATCTGCTACATCATAGACAATGCTATTGACCTTAACAAGAAGAGATACTCTCAACTCGACTTCATACCACAAACTAAAACATTGTTGTTGTTGTGGATTCGCAAGGTTTTCCATCTTAATTGAAGTGGCAGACATATAAAACACAAAATCTTTTTTTAAAAAAAATTTAAAATCCAATTTACCAAAAAAAAAATTGATACTTATACAAATTACATTCTTTATAATATTATCAATACCAAGATTTATTTATATAATACAATGCAAATGCAAACTGGTCTCGTAATGTTTAATAAAAACAACTATTCCCCGTAATAATAAATTAGTTTATATTACAAAATATTTTTTATCATAGTTTAGTAAATTATAATTAAACTTAAGAGACTACCGATTGTATAAATACTTTTTTTTCCTATTAAAAATATTAAAATAAAATATAAAATTATTAAGACCTTGAAAAGATTCTCCAAACGTAATTATTTTCTTCCTCAATATTTAATGCTTATTCTCTATCACTTAAACTTGTCATCCTACTACTACAGTAGAATGTCGGTAAATTAATAATCTATAAATTAATAACTTCTAACAATTAATAATTTTCTCTGGTCCCAAGTTGAGACCCGTATAAAAAGTGAAAAAAATTGATAAAATAATAAGATAATAATGTTTCAGAAAATATCTATATATCTATAGATCCCAACAATATCACAAATTAATAAATACCCTAGAAGTAAAAAAATAATAATAACTATAAATATTTAGTAAAATATGAACTATTGATATTTATTTTTTAGTCCTGGAGATGGTATGAACTATTTATGGACTTTTGGTGTTCAAAAGAATTTTAATACTTCATTGATTCAGATGTGAAGGAAATTGCAAATTAAAAAAAATTAGTGACGGTTCTTTTTTCTCATAGAGATTCTTTAAATTAATAATTTATTAATTTACCAATTATTTAATAATTCTCCATATTAATAAATTTTTGTGGTCCCAACACTATTAATTTATAGAAGTTCTACTGTACTTCCGTTTATCTACTTCCAAAAAAAATATACACAATAAATAATTCTTCTTGCTCAAATGATGTATAACTTTAAATTTGATGTGTAATTAAGAAATAAATATTATATTATTGCATTACTTTTAATTATTTTGAAAAAAAAAACTAGGTACTATCTTATACAAGGATGTGAATCAAGAGAGGAAATCTTTTTTTTTTTAAAAAAAAAATGATTTTATGTCATAGAGAGCTTGTAGGGATAAATAGCACTATTAATTATTTGTTTAGTAAGAGTGACTTCCACAACACAAATTTTTTAAATCTCCTCACAAACTCAAATAAAAAACTAAAACAAAACGTTGTCTAAATACCACCTAAGCTTTCTGAAGCTGCCACGTGTCTTTCCAGGTAGTTGCTTTAAATAGGTGAAAAGGATATCTCTCAAATCACGAGATGTTAAACCTGCGCAATGGCAAGTATATACATTTTTATGAAACCTTTTGTGCCAGCTTTACATGTACCACAACTCTATATATTATCTCGTGTTGGGTCTACATAGAACAAAATATTATTGTTTATATGTTTATGTGGTTGGCTTTGGCTCTTATTTATGGTTAAGAAAAAGTCTTCATAATTTTTTTTTTTAAATAATCACACAAATATGAAAGAAACAAAATTCTGGTATTAAATTTTTGATGGACGAATGTATAAGAATATTTTCTTATTCAATCGTCTGTGATCCATCTATATATAGGAAAAAGATATGCACATATTAACTTGTAGAATAGCTATTGTTTGAAAACAAAGAAATGATTTATTAAAGATCATATGTTATTTTTATAGTTATGAAAAATAGTAAAAGAAAGAGAATAAAATAAGAAAAAAATAAACAAATAATGAAAAGATACCGTTTTCTTGTTTTTATGTATTTTTACAGTTATTTTACAATTTTTGAAAATTATTGGGTGTTTTGGTGATTAAATTTATTGTATTTATTAAAATACTAACAGATATTCGTTAAGTTTCAAAATTTTCGTCAATTGGATTATTTGATAAAATTTTCATATAATGCGGACGAATTTGACTAAGGGCATTACTTTTGAGTACCAATTACAGTTACCCGAACGTTTTGGGTAGGATCGGCAAATTTTCCCACATAAGTTCTTGTAATTCCCAATTTACCTATTTCCCCGCCCCTTTTAACCAGATATTCTCTCCAGTCTCCGCGCCATCATCTGCTCTGAGACTTAAACCCCGCCACACTAAACCACGGCGGCGGCGGTGGCGTTTGCAGCCTTCGGCTTAAGATCTGAGAGGAGGCAGCCTCGGGCAGTCAATTTCTTAAAATTGGTGAGTTGACTCTTCTTTACAGATTGCAAAGGTTTGCAAAGGTCGTAGTGTAATTTTGGAGTTTCCTTCTTTATAGATTGTCGGGGAGTTTGATTGACCTTGTTAGTTCATGTGTTTTTTTCGGTCTGAAATTGTACACATTCTATTTTGAAGTGTTTGTGTGTATTATAGAATTGATTGGCTTGTTAGCTTGTAGTTGATTGCCATACAAAAAAGTGTTGGAAACTATAACTTCTTTTCAAAGTATATTATTTGGTAGTGGATGTATAGGGCTATTTCTACCTGTTCTTAGATAGCCGTTGGTTGGTATATTACCTGTTGATTACTCGTAATTTTAGTCATATTTGATTTTACTCTTGATTTTGGTTGATCTGGAAGTTAAACTTCCTTTCCTTTACTACTTTCTTGGCTTCTGTATGAATTGAAATGCATTCCCCAAATCTTTCTGTGTCCTTATATGCTACATCTAGTATATTTCTGAAGTCTTAACAACCTCCTTTTCTTGCTGTTAACTAGAATGAGAATAACTAAATGTATGCGGTAGTGATATCGTGTGTTAAAGTGATCCCTTTAAATAATTCCTCCAAACTTTTATGGTATTCCCTCTGTGCCAAAAACATGGTTTGACTATATTTTTGGGATAGCGGGAGTCCTGCGCTCCCCTTCCTTTTGATCCTTATGGTGGCTCTCATTTTATCGGTGATGGTTATGCAATTTTTTGATATCTCAGCGTTATCCAAAGAACCCAGTGGATGAAGTCTAAGCACAATTTTTTAATCTGTGATTATACAGTTTCATATAACGAGTTCTTATTAATTAGCTACTTATCCATTATAATTATTTTCTTGTGGTGATAGTAATGTATATATTTGTTTTGTTTTCTGACAGGATATACATTCTTTTTCTATTTCTAAAGGTTGAGATGGCTAGCTTAATTTCGCAAAATACTGGTCTGAAGGATCGGTCACTTAAGGTTAAGCCTCCAGTTAATGATATTTCAAACCAGAGTCATGATGGGAAAGGGAGAAAGAGGAAGAAAGAGTCAAAGGAAGGTAATGATGAGTTAGAGATTGCGCAACAGAGGGAATGAAGAAGCTAGAAAATTCTTTGTTTGGTTCATTGTACTCTCCTGTTGAATTTTCAAAGCATGAAGATGATGAAGTTGGAGTTCAGGTGGATGAAACTCCTGCTCTGTTTATCGTGGACAGGTCTCCAAGTAGTGGTTTGTCTGTCTATGAAGAAGACCACGACTTGGCTGACGAGAGTAGTGATAAGGAAACTGTGCAAAGAAAACCTGTATGGGTAGATGAAGAAGAGCAGAATATCTCTGTGAACATAGCTAAAGTGAACAGATTGAGAAAGCTCCGGAAAGCAGAAGAAGAGTTTGTAATTTCTGGTTCTGCTTATGAATCCAGACTGAGGGCGCAGCATGCGAAGTTAAATCCTGGTACTGATTGGGCAAACCTTGATTCTCGAGAAATGAACTCTGGCTCTGACAGTGAAGATTCAGATGTCGAAGATAGCAACGCCACAGCTGCAGTTGTGGGCGACATTCTTCGAACTGATGAGGATCTAGTTGTGAAGGATGGTTCAAAATTGCTACCTGGAATTCTTGAGTATTCAAGACTGGTTGATGCCAACTTGGAAGAACCTTCTAGTGGTCCAATAAACTCAGTTCAGTTCCACAGGAATGCCCAGCTACTCCTTGCTGCTGGATTGGATAGAAGACTGAGATTTTTCCAAATCGATGGGAAAAGGAATACTAAGATTGAGAGTATCTTCATCGAAGATTGCCCAATTCGAAAGGCATGTTTCTTACCTGATGGGTCTTCTGTTATTGCTGCAGGGCGAAGAAAGTTCTTCTATAGCATTGATTTAGTGAAAGCAAAGGTTGATAAAATAGGTCCTCTAACTGGTAGAGAGGAGAAGAGCTTGGAAGCGTTTGAGGTTTCTCCTGATTCTAAAATGATAGCTTTTCTCGGTAATGAAGGTTACATTTTGTTAGTTTCGTCCGAAACAAAAGAATTAATCGGGACACTCAAAATGAATGGAACAGTTCGATCGATAGCCTTTACCAGTGATGGTAATCAACTGTTGGGTTCTGGAGGAGATGGCGTGATTTACCACTGGGATTTAAGAACAAGAACTTGCTTTCACAAAGGTGTTGATGAAGGCTGCATTACTGGAACCTCTCTTTGCACATCGCCAAATGGAAATCTTTTCGCAGCTGGTTCAGACAGTGGAATTGTTAACGTGTACAAAAGTGATGACTTTTTAGGGGGGAAGAGAAAACCAGCCAAGGTTATTGAGAACTTGACCACTAAGGTTGATTTTGTGAAATTCAATAATGATGCAAAGATTTTGGCAATCTGTTCGAGCATGAAAAAGAACAGTCTAAAATTGATCCATGTTCCGTCATTTACTGTTTTCTCAAACTGGCCTCCTTCAAATAAAAGCTTGCACTATCCCAGATGCCTAGACTTCAGCCCTCACGGAGGTTTGATGGCAATGGGAAATGCTGGAGGAAAAGTACTGTTGTACAAGTTGCATCACTGTCATCAGTCGTAGTAAAGTCAACGAATGGCTTTAGCCTTTCCCTTTGTTCTTCACAATTATCTGGGGAGCATATGCTTAGGCATCTGAAAATACAATCAGTTGCATGGGTGCAAATGGGATCAGCTCGTACAACCTCAAGATGAAAGTAGATTTTGCATTGTTGTGAACATGATGATGCCCTGGGATATTTTCTGCTAATATTGTTTTGGTCGAGGGGCAATTGAGAAAGTGATGCATCTGTCGTTGAAGATATTGTTGCTTCCTAAGTTCATGTTCTGAAACCATATTGGTTTCATTGGTTGCATCTGAAAGACATTTATATCTTCAAGTCCAATCTTGGTTGTGCTGCTGTTAGAACCGCAAGGGATGAAGCTGAGGTTCGTTTTGGAACGTGATTGATTTAAACCTGAAGATTACAGTCCATGTTGCTGTCGCATTTTGTTTGTTGTTTTGTACACTGAAACCTTGTTATCTGGTTCAACTTTGCTGCTATGCAGTTCTTTGCTCTTTTCTTTGTATCTTTATTTTACCATAGAAAACTAACACTCCAGTAGATTACGACATTGTCTGGTTCAGGATTACATAGTACAAAACTGTAATTCACTCCCTGTAATCTATGCCTAGAAAGTTTGATGAAGTTATGCACTGATCTCCTTATATAGTTAAGTTCTTGTATGACTGCTGGAATTTTAACCGGTCCATTTGATCTGGTTCGTGCAGTGCCAAGTTTTATACTGTTGCTAAGATAGTTTTTGTACTGTACTGTGCATTTGATCCGAGTATCCGACACAACCTCGTCAGTTGTATGAATTCATTCTTCTAGATTTGAGTTAAAACGGATTTTTTTATTTTTTTATTTTTCAAACAACATGGTATCAAATCTACTTTGGCCATTGGTTGCGCCGCCTGTATCACTTTTGGTTAGCTGCACCATGGTATCAAACCACGTTGCAGTCATTGAGCTTTTTCTCGTAGAGATTTAGTTTAGTTTTACTTTATATTCATGTTGTTACCCTTCAGTATTAGTACTCTTTATTTACAGATGAATTAAACTAATAGTCTGAATGCTTTCTATATATTGACAATTTTTCTTTTATTCAATCAAATTAATTTTCGATGACTTGCATGGATCATTTCAGCAATGTGATCCTGGGATCCTCCCTTTCAAAGATTCTGTTTTCTGGACTTCTGTTAGGAGTAATGTAATACTCCATTTCCAGTAGTGTTGTATTATTATGTACAAAGGGAACTCAAAAAAAAAAAAAAAAAAAAACCCTGTGGTGCAGGATTCGGTGGAACACAAACGTTGGATGTTCTAATAGTGTTGAGTTGTGGCAACATTACACATGAGAAAAGAGCAGCAGACGGAACCCGTACATAATAATAACAAGATCAAATTACGGCATTTGCAGATTGTATATATAACAAGATCAAAATTGTGCACATATTCCCTCCGATCCTTATTGTAAGTTATTAGTTATTTATTTTAGATTTAATTATCGTAATTTTCTAATTTAATAAAACTTTAAAAATATATTTTTAATATTTATTGTGTTTTTCTAATTATTATAAACATTTTTATAGTTTCCTATTCAATTGAGAAAACACGATAATCATTTTTTAACGGAAAACATTTTTGGACCTTTTAAATATTTTAAAGTAATTTTCTGGTTTTTACTTCGGCTATACTGTCTTATTCTACTGTATTTTTAAAACTTTAAATCTTACTCCAACATTTGTAGTTCAAATCGATACAATTAATTTAGGATTTTGTAAAAATGGGCATCGATTCTTGTACTGTGGGTTTTTTTTTAAAAAAAAAATTAGACGTGAGGATTTTATCACCATCAACAATATAAGGTTGATAAATTGGCATGCTTCACTTTTTTAAAAAAAAAGAAAAGGATGAAAGATAAAAGATAAACTATTTTTTCATTTTTGGATTTTAATCAGACCTCACTTGAGGATTTTATCGCCACCTATATTTATTTTACAAACACATTATTTTTTCAGAACTGAAAGAATATTTACAAGCAAGAAAAACAAAAGGGATTTACCAAGCGGAAGCTTCCACCTCATAACCCATGAGTATGACACAAACAATGTTGAATTCACACCCAATAAAAACAGCTCAGACGAATCCCTTATGATCAGCGCGGTCATGAAGGCAATTTATGGTAAGAGCTTTTTTTTTTTCAAAAAAAAAAAGAAGAAATAATTACGTATAGTACCATTCAAAGTCTGTAGTTATATATAGAATGATACAATTTATTAAAAGCAAAGATTTGATATGCCCTTTAACGTACAGCTGTTAAGTAATCATCACTAATTAACGTCCGTTCGTATATTATTGGAATGAAAAGTTCATCAATTACCTATATCTTTTTTTTATTGAACGATACTTGTATGACGCGTACTTTAATTATTTTCTTGCGTAAAAATTAATTAGCTAAAACTTCGTCCATTCCCTAACATATGAAATTTTTGGTGTATAAGTAGCGAAGGATGAAATGTAGAGAGAATATACCGCCCCACCAAGAATACATATATAGAGTTAAGCTTTTGAAACTCTCTAATTCTTCATCTTGAATTTTAGGGTTAGCCAACCCTAGTCGAGTCGACATGGCTTCATGTGGAAACATTGCAATTGAGGTAAATTGTTTAATTTCTACCCTCTTCTTCTTCTTTTTTGTTTTTTTCGGTTCTATGGATTTTTCTTTTTAACTATTAGTAATAATAGTTGCCCAATTCGATTGAAGATTGTTGTCTTGTAAGAATTATTGATATGAAAATTTTAGGTTTTGATGACTACTTATAAAATTGTGAATTCATCAGGATCTAGAAGTTCACTTTATCCTTCTTTTTTTTTGGTTGTCGTTTTCTAAATCTCGAAGACGGATAATTTTTATTTTTTTGGGGTTGGGGGCTTGCATCAATCTCAATTATCAAAAAGCTCAAAATCACTGTGTTATGGTTCGATTTAAGATTCTGGGACCCTCGTTTTTAATATATAATCATGATTTAGGTTTTTTATCAGTTCTTTCTTTCCTTATTTGATCTTATATATAGGAGAAAAAGATGCAGACAGAGGAAAAAGAAGCGGAGGCAGCCAACGCAAGTGAACAAATAATGCCAAGAGAACATGATTACAAAATCCCGGCACAGTACCACGGTTCCGGCTACGAGTATGCGCCGCACACCCAATTTCCGTTCATTCCTCCGGGAGGATCCATCTGGGCATATATATGATGAATTCGTAGGAGGATCAGCAAATGGTTCCGTGATTAGCTAACTTTTCCATTCTTTGATTTAATGAGTAATAATTTCTTTGTATTAGAGATTTCACTTTGTTACTTTATTCTTTCTTCCATCTTCCTTCACAAGTTGATGTTGTAGTTTAATGTTCGGATGAATCTAATAATGTGAAAGGTTTTTACAATTTATGATTCTTCTCTTTTTGACACAATAATTTCATCTTAAATCAAATAACTGTAATTTAATCCTCCTTTTCAATTATGTGGGCATCCATTGGTAGGATTTCAAGGCCTAAAGATAAAACTGTACTTGCGATATTGAAGTATCTACTCAAGCCTTTTTCTGAACTTTATGTTTTATCCCATATGTTTTGCTCATCAGATTACTTGTCATAGTTAGTTTTGTCACTGTACAAATGTAGCGTATGTCATTAATCACTCTATTAAAATACTCTCCATTTTAGTTTTCTATTTTAGTATAATATGTATTATATGAAAATCTAAATTGGGCAATTATTTCAAGATGGGAAAATTTTTATGATTTCAATGGTTTTATGTTGCAAGAATAGTTGGTCTGTTGAATCAAAATATTGAATCCCTGGCTTTTTGAATTAATACAATTTGATTTTTCTGAAAAGGTACTATCAATAAAGAAATGGTAAAGGACTATCGTTAAAATTAATAAAATGTTGAGGACCAGCATATTAATCCCGTAAACAAAATACTCCTTTTGTCCCAAAATTATTGTTCAGTTTGAAATTTCACTTTTAGTATAATTTGAACTAGAAATGAAAATCCAAACTGGATAATAATTATAAGACGGAGGGAATAGTTAGGTACATGATTATAGTGTGCTGAAACTTTATTTTTTTTCGTTTTTGTATACATGCAAAAGCTTGAAATTAATTCTAAGGGGTTCAAGCTTATGTGGTGAAGAAAAGTACTATTTCTACGAATCCGAAGAATCAGCCTTAAACGCGGGGCCTTGTCAACATATAACATAATTAAGAGTGAGTTTGGACAAAGTTTTGGTGGTATACCTTGGAGTAAGTTATGAAGAAAAGAAAAAATAAAATGATGACATTTGATTATTTTAATTAATACTAATTAATTATATGTGATAATTATTCTAATTAATGGCAATGAAGGCGGGTTCATGGGCCAACCTCTTCATATTTTCTTAATCATAAAATCTAATGGTTTTAATGATAATTTTAATATTTTAATGATTTAAGTTTAATGGAAACTGAAAAAAAATAGGTATGTTTTATTTGTCAATTTATTGATAGATTTTTTCTTTAAATACAAAAGGGGCAATACATGCATTATTGGTTGCTCTCTATTTTCTTTCTCCCCCAAATCGATTCACCTCAACACCGAGTCCTCTTACTTCTCCCACCATGAAAGTGAATATCTGGTTAGTTAATATTCACCTTTGTTCTTTCTTCCTTTTATTTTAATTGTCTTTAGCATGAAGAAATTAATCTTATTGTTTTCTTTATTCTTACTCCTAAGGTCAACATGATCTCTTCTAATGGTGTTTTAATTATATAATGAATTTTGTAAGCAGAGAAACCTATTTTAATGGGTAATTTTGTGTTTAGAGTAAATTAAATTGTAAATATGAATTATATATAATACCTAATGAAAATAACTTAGACTTTGAAAACATGTGATGTCATTATTTAGGTGATGTAAATTTATTTTTGATAATGTGTAATACTATGCCTGTTTATGAATTGATGGTTGAATTTCCTGATCAAGTGCGTAAAAGATCAGTATCTTTTAAAAATTTGTTTATACAATTAAATGTGGAGTATGATTTACAAATATGAAGGGTTTTCATTTGAATTATTTTTACATTTTGTTTATTGTATGTACACTCATTAAATTATGTTATACATCGGATACGCGCGAAGCACGTAGTATCTGACTAGTTATTAGTTACAAGTATGATGGCAAATTGATGTTACTAGCTAGCCAATGCAAGATTAAATTTAGTTTAATTATTGACTAAAAAAAATAATTCATCCTTTCAAATAAGCGTCGTTCTAGAGAAAATATGTAGTTTTAAAATAAGTATCGTATTAGAAAACACATCGTATTTTAACTAAAGTCAAATCTCCATCCACTATTGAAATTATGTTATTTTAGGGTTTACAAAATTTTTTAAAAGTAATTATGTTATTTTTACAGAATCGGGGCAAATTTGTCCATATTAGCCTACCCAAGACAGAGGGTGGATTGAATGTGAGGAAGCCTGGCAAGTGGAGTAAAGCTCTGATGAGTAAACAGATATGGGATATAGCTCAAAAGAAAGAGAGCTTAAGGGTTAAATAGGCGCACATGTACTAAGCTGTGGCAGTATTCACCTCCCTTGGATTGTAGTTGGTACTGGAATAAATTAATAAAGTTGAAAGGAAAAGTGAAGACGAAGGCAACATAAAGTTTGATCTCTGAGAAGGATCAAAATTATACCGTCAGGAAATACTATAACTTGATGAGAGGGAACGTACCATATGAAGATGAGGGAA